CAATTTCACTATTATTATTATTTTGGCACTCTGATCCAAAAATGTTTTTTTTTTTTTTTGAGAGGTTTTTGCTATAGGGCGAGTGCACTCACCAGACAGACAGAGACAGAGAGACCGAAAGCGAGAAATCACCCCCCAGGGGGGATGGCCACGCCGCAATCCCTTCTCCTCCATTCTCCTCTCGGGATCTTGGGCACACACACATACACACACACACATGCCCGGCGTGAGTTTAAGTCACCGGGTCCGGGACTTGAACCGTGGTTGACTACATGGGAGTTCAGTGACATAGCCATTATTCTAACTGCTGGTCCCCCAACATTTTTTTTAAAAATCAGGCCCAGAGTTTCCCACCAGCAGCCTGCTCATGCAATCCTCTTCCAGTTCTGCCATCTCTTCCTAATGCAGAGCAGCTGCTGCTGAATCTGCATTATACAAGGGAACTTTAAAAGTTCATGGGAAATGGAATTAAAGATCAAGTTTACTTTGGTGCAAAAACATTGAAATCCATACCTACATTTTCATAGTAAACATTTTCCATGAATTTATTTATTTACTTATTAGTTTTTGCTATAAGAGCATGTGTGCTTTGTCAGAGAGAGAGAGAGAGAGAGAGAGAGAGAGAGAGAAATCATTCCTCAGAGGTGAAGGACATGCCACAATCCCTTCTCGTCTCTTATCCCCTTGGGATTTGAGGTTTGGGGGTACACACACATATACCTGGAGTAATTTTCAAATGACTGGGTCTGGGACTTGAACTGCTCAGTTGGGCATGTGGGATCCAGTCATCTTTAACTTCTGTGCATCTGCTGACCCCAATTTTCCATGAACTTTTTGAAGACCCTTAATACTAGTGCTTTGTCTTCGTAGTCTTGGCGGCGCTTTCTTTTCCAGATCTGAGAAATTTAGTCTCCTACCGAGACTGGTAAAACGGCAACATCAAACCCAGGGACTCTGTACTTGTGAGAGCCTCACGTGGCTGTCCAGCTCATTCACTTACACACGGCTATTGTTCAGAACGTGGGCTCTGAAGCCAGGAGCCTGGGTTTGAATGCCAACTCTGCCACCTCCTCACTGTGCAGCCTTGGGGACATTATTTAACCCTTCCGAGCCTCAGCTTGCCTGCCCAGCAATAATGAGAATATCTATTATACCAGAGAGCATCAGAAGAGACTGTGAATAGGAATGTTTAACAAGGTATCATGGAGCATGCTTAATAGGCCCTAGCTGAGTTATCATTGAGCACTCTGTGCCATGTTTATGTCACCTGGTACACCGAGGCACTTTCTTATTCATTCATTATCAAGAATGTACCAGAGGGACCAGCAGTTGCGTAATGGCTATGTCGCTGGACTCCCGTGTGGTCAACTGCGGTTCGTGTCCCAGACCCGGTGGCTTAAACTCATGCCGGGCACGTTTGCGTGCATGCCCAAGATCCTGAGAGGAGAATGGAGGAGAAGGGATTGCGGCGTGGCCATCCCCCCTAGGGGGTGATTTCTCGCTTTCTGTCTCTCTGTCTCTCTCTGTCTGGCAAGCGCACGCACCCTATAGCAAAAACCTCTAAAAAAAGAAAAAAGAAAAAAAGAATGTACCAGGCACCTATGATCTGCCAGGCTTCATGATGGGGCAAGAACTGCTGAAGTGAAAGCTGTGTCCCTGCCCTCCAGGTACTTACTGGGTAGCAGGGGAGGGTGGGAGCCCAGAGGAGAGGCTGAGTCTGGGAAGTGCTCTTCATGGTCCCACTTGAGAATAGTCTTAAAAGCAAAGTGTTTGTTTTCTAGGTAGACTCAGGGAAGAAAAGCCCTCCAAACCAGGCGCACAGCGTGTACATAGGCGGAGCTGAAAGAAAACAACTGTGAGCCATGGTTGCTCAGCAGGGGGGAGCAGGTGACAGACTACAGAGGCTGGGCGCCCCTCCCTGGAGGGTCTCGCACTATGGGCCATCCTGAAGAGTCTAAACTTGATCCCAAGGCCTCATGGAGACTAAATGGGTTTTAAGCAGTGGTTAAGTCTTCCCTATCACTGGGTGGGAAGAGGTGGCTAGGTTAGAGGCCCCAAGTATGTCCCCTGCCTCTCCTCTCTTCATGGGTCACCCTTTCCTTGATTCTCTGACCTGTGGCATGCTGCGTTTGGACACAAACCCCTTTCCCTGGGGTTTCTCTCACCCAGCTGAGATGGATTGGTTCTGAAAGAATGCCCCCCTATGTTCATAGAGAATGAAAGGAGAAAGGACCTGAAAACGAACTAGCCAAGTTTCCAGATGTGGTGTCAAATCATCCCTCATGACATCAGTCCATTTAAGGTGGGCTGATCCACCGTTTCTGGCCCACCACTGCCTCTCCCCCACCCCAGCTGCTGGCCCCTAACTGTGTAAGGGCTGCCATCTCTTTCTTTCTCAGGTGGGAGCTGCCCGTTGTGTGTCTAGCTTTCCCCAAACGTGGAACAAATGTCTGTGCTCTCCCCTCGCTGCAGGCCCACTCCGCCCATCCTTGGCCACCGCAGGATGGGCTAGAAGGCAGACTAGGGAATGCCAAGTCCTCCAGGAAACCGCCCCTTAGCTATATAGCTACCACACCTCCAGGCAACACGCCCGTCCCTACGTAGGAGGCTCCTTCTCTCACATAAGGCCATGTGGAGCTGCTGGATGGCTGGGGAGAAGGAGTTTGTTCTCTATTTTTTTTCTTTTTTCAGTGTACAGCACATGCACTCACTAGAGAGAGACAGAGAGAAAGTGAGAAAGCATCCTCCCCAGGGGCGATGGCCATGCCTCAATCCCTTCTCCTTCATTCTTCTCTTGGGATTTTTGGGCATGCATGTACATGTGCCAAACATTCTTTTCAAGCCCTTGGGTTCAGGACTTGAATCACATGGTCAGCCTTGTGGGATCCAGCCGCCTTAACCACCATGTCACCAGCTACCCTGAAGAGGGACTTTCTGACAGTGATTAAGATTCAATGATTGCTTTATAGTGAGAAAAGCTATTTTCAGTGGCGCTTAACCTCCTAGAAATTGTTCTCGGTAACTTCTTCCTCCCAAGCAGAGACAAAGAAAACAGTTGTAATAGAAATATCTATGAGATGGGACCAGCAGTTAGCGTAATGGCTAAGTCACTGGACTCCCATGTAGTCGACCACGGTTCAAGACTTGGACCCGGTGGCTTAAACTCACGCCGGGCACATGTGCGTGCATGCCCAAGATCCTGAGAAGAGAATGGAGAAGGGATTGTGGCATAGCCATCCCCCCTGGGGGGTGATTTCTCTTTTTCTGTCTCTCTCTTTCTGGTGAGTGCATGCACCATATAGCAAAAACCTCTCCAAAAAAATAAAAAAAAAAAAAAAAAGAAATATCTATGAGAGGCCACATTGGAGGCTGACAAAGCTTTTCAGGTTCCGGCAGTGCAAGGATGTGGTCAAGCTAACAATAGAAAATGCTAGAATGAGGGGAATGAGCTGGAGAGGACTGCCCCCTTAATGTCTGGTGAGTTTGCTCAGGAAGGAGTAACAGGTCTGGCAGAGATGAGCATGAGATTTGATCAGACTTGGACCCAACTGGGGTAGAACAAGGTGTCAACAGATGACACAGAAACAGGACTAAAGAAGACCCTGACCGGCCTCAGCAGAGGACTCTCTCTAATGCCCCACTGACAAGTGTTTGTTAGTAAACAGCAGAGCAACACTTGTTATCCTTGAATTTTATTTTTGGCTGTAAACATCAGGATCCTCTTTTTTCCCCCTTTTTTCTAGCTATCTGCACATATATCAGGTACTTAATGTGAAGATCATCAACCCTTTCGTCACCCTGTGGGTATAGGTTTGTGTTCCTTCTTGCTGTCTTACTAATGTGCCTCGTTAAAATAATCCCTTTGGTTGGGGCCAGCAGGTGGCATGGTGGTTAAGGCACTGGACCCACATGGCAGACCATGGGTTGAGTCCCAAATCCAGCAGCCTGAAAATCATGCTAGGCATGTGTGTGTGTGTGTGTGTGTGTGTGTGTGTGTGTGTGTGTATGTGTGTGCCTTCCCAAAATCCTGAGAGAAGGGATTACATCATGGCCATCCACCCTGGAGGGTGATTTCTCACTTTCCCTCTCTCCTTGTCTGTCTCTGGCAAGCAAGCACATGTGTCCTACAACAAAGCATTAAAAAAAAAAATCCCTTTGGGCAATGCTGCTTCTGGTGCTTCTCTTGCCATGACAGTTGTATTCAAGTGTCGGGTTTCCAAATGTTGGTGACCAGGTAAGCCTGTTTCTGTGGTGTGGGCTGGGGCTCTGGGGCAGCAGGATGTGTCATGTGATTGTTTCTGCATATTGCTTTTCCCTCCTTCCAACATGCTTGTCACCCTAGTGTCCTGTTTTTCCTCAAACAGGTTTGGCATTGGCTGGTTGCTAGCGTGAGGGCATGAGAGACTGCTGAATGAGATGGAGACTCAGCAGTTATGATGTTTACGAAAAGTGCTGAGATGTTGCACTTTTGAGCAGAGCATCTTTGCTTGTTTTGTCCCTATGACAAAGTATCTTTGATGCAAAGACTGGGCATCAGCTGCGCTCAACAAAGAGTCAACTCCTGCAGCCGAATTCAGGGCTTGCAGTTATGCACCAAGGAATAAATTCCGGCTGAGGTTAGGGGACTGCCTCCAAAGTCTCTTTCTTGTTCTTCTGTTTGAGGTTAGGGGACTGCCTCCAAAGTCTATTTCTTGTTCTTCTGTTTGCCTCCTAGTCACAGTGTCTTCCTGCTAAGCCAGCACAAGGCCGGAATATTAGGTAGCCGGTTCTCCCAGGTCCTGTCCCACCCAGCCGGACGCTCTCACCCGGTGGCTAAGTAAATAAATTCTGATACCTAGTTTTTCCTTGAGCCTTCCCCAGGCTACTCACACTTTGTTTCTCTGCTCTTTCCACGGTTTTGCTGAGTTCCTGGCTCTGTACTTCCTCTTGGCCCTTCTTACTTCCCTAAATACCCTTGAAGAAGATTGCTTATCTCAATAAAAGCCCTCTTGTGGGGGCAGGGGAAGGCAGGGGCCTTGGGCATGTCTTTCTGGGGGAACTAAGAGTAGAAGCACTTTCAGATTCAGCTCACATCAAACTGTCCTCCAGGCTTCTGGGAGCATGGGGATATGGGGCCCCCAAAGGGGCTGCAAATGACCTTCCTGTGATGGGCCTTTGCTAAGAAGTGGTTCCCAGAGATCGTCTGACCAAGAAAGAGCATGAATGCGCAGGTTGTGAGTTTGAGTGTTGCATGTGCACTTGTGGGAAGATGACTGGCAAGAACTAGGCTGACTGGCCCAGACGGATCCTGCTGGCTCCCCTGTCACCTGGGAGGCTTCTCTAGGAAAACAAGATGCCCATCAACAGCACTGCCTCGTCGTTGGCCAACATTGCCTACATCACTGTGGAGATTGTCATCGGGCTCTGTGCCATCGTGGGCAATGTCCTGGTCATCTGGGTGGTCAAGCTGAACCCCAGCCTGCAGACTACCACCTTCTATTTTATCGTCTCCCTCGCCCTGGCTGACATTGCTGTTGGAGTGTTGGTCATGCCTTTGGCTGTTGTCATCAGCCTGGGCATCACAATCCACTTCTACAGCTGCCTCTTCATGACCTGCCTACTGCTGATCTTCACCCACGCCTCCATCATGTCCTTGCTGGCCATTGCTGTGGATCGATACCTGCGGGTTAAGCTCACTGTCAGGTAACCTGCTTGAAGAGGACTGAAGTGGGGCGGTGGGGGGAGGAGACAGAAACAGAAGTGCTTAGAAAATGGGGCTACAAAGTTTAGATCCCAGACTTTCTGAGTGAAAATGAGTCCAACCTGGCCATTGAGATTAGAAGAGAGCAGCAGATACCTTTTCATGGTACAGTCTGTAAGGGTTTAGCAACGTCAACGGAAACTCAGGAACTAGAAACAGGAATACTCTAGTCCCTTCTCTACTGACTCTGGACATACGCTCAGTCCCCTAGGAAAGCCAAAGATGATGAAAGCTGAATGCATTTTTAATGAGTAAAAAATGCTCTTGGGTTTTAGAAATGAAAGAAACCTACCCGGACAAGCTTAGTTTAGAAGGTGATAAGAATAAGAGGAGATAAGCTGATGGTTCTATTGCTTTGTAAAGACAGGTTATGTAACTTGCCTTCTTATCCTGTGCTCCCCCTCTCCATGTTGAGAAAGTGATTCTTAGAAAATAAAAAGTCTCTTTTTTAAAAAATAAATCATATAAGGGGCCAGCAGGTGGTATGATGGTTAAGGTGCTGAACTCCCACATGGATGACCATGGTTGAAGTCCCAGGCCTGGGAGCGTGCTTTTTTTCTCTCTGGTGAGTGCAAGTGCCCTAAATCAGATTAAATAATAATAATAAATAAATAACATTTTTAAAAGTTCATGAAAATTCATGTGCATCATGAAAAACTATATGTGAATTTCAATTTTTTTTGCAGCAAAATAAGCTCTTTTTTTTTAAAGAATTATTTTATTTAACTTTGTTTATTTATTTCAATTTGACCAGAGAGGTACAGAGCAAGAGAGAGAGAGAGAGAGAGAGAGAGAGAGAAAGCAAGCCACCAGGTCCGGGACTTAAACCATGATTTGCCATGTGGGAGTCCAGTGCCCTTAACCACCACACCACCTGCAGGCTCCAAAATAAGCTCATTTTTAGATTCAATTTTCCCATAAACATTATGAAGTCCTTCTCATACATATTTTCTTCTTATTTGGTGTGAGAACTTTTTCCAAAAAAATTCTCTACCATGTAAAGTACTAACAACCTTTTGTGTGGCCACGTGAAGAGAATAAACAAACTGCCAAATGAAGAAATCTAATACCCCAGGGGTCCTAAATTGCATTGGTATCAATTTTTTCTCTTTTCTTCTTCTGAGAGATCTAACCAAGCCTTAGACGTAAACAATTCTGAGTTCAAATCCCAGATTCTGAGATCTGATCTTGTGCAAGTTATTTAAGATCTGAACTTGGGCAAGTTACCTGCTTTAGTGTCCTCCTCTGTATCACAGTGCTTAAGATGCTCTGAACTCTGATTTCGATCCAATTTTACCTCTACCCATCTAGCTTGTTTAAAGTTGCCTGTATTTCATTTTTTTTCGCCCACAAAATGGGGATAATAATGGCACCTTTCTCATAAGAGCAAATGAGTTAACACATTTAAAGCTCTTAATGGGGCCAGCGGGTGGCATGAAGGCATGGGTGACCATGGTTTGAGACCCAGACCTGGTGACTTGGAAAACATGCTGGGTGTGTGCACATGCATGCCTAAGACCTCAAGAGGGGAGTGAAGGTAAAAACTGTGGCATGGTCGTCCCCACCCCCCAAAGGGGGAGTCATTTCTCACTTTCTCTCTCACTGTCTCTAACTAACTCTCTCTCTGGTGAGTGCACATGCCCTATGACAAAAACAAAACAAAACACTCTTGAAAAAATACCCAGCACACAGTCTATGCTCAATAAATGGTAGCTATAACTACTATTACATTAGTTACTTTAAACTCTCCCGTTTGTTGTGAGATTTGAGATAAAATCTATTTGGTACCTAGTACTTAACAGCATTATAGTAGTCCCTCCTTCTGTCTTCTGAGACCCCCGTGGATGCCTGAAGCCACAGATAGTACTGAACTCTAGGTGTGTTATTATTCTTATTTTATTTGATAACTGAGATGGCTACCAAGGAACAAATGGAGAGATAGCGTGTACAGTGTGGATATGCTGGACACAGGCATGATTCACAGCCCAGGCTGGATGGAATGGGACAGTGTAAGACTTCATCCTGCTACTCAGAATGGCATGCAATTTAAAACTTACATATGTTTGGGAGCAAGCAGCAGTTGGTGTAATGGCTATGTCGCTGGACTCCCATGTAGCCGACCACGGTTCGGGTCCCGGACCTGGTGGCTTAAACTCATGCCGGGCACGTGTTCATGTGTGCCCAAGAGGAGGATGGAGGAGAAGGGATTGAGGCATGGCCATCCTCCTTGGGGGGTGATTTCTCGCTTTTTTGTCTCTCTGTCTCTCTATCCTTCTGGTGAGCACACGTGCCCTATAGCAAAAACCTCTCAAAAAAATAAATAAAACTTACAAACGTTTATGTCGGAATTTCCCGTTTAGTATTTTCAGACCACAGGTAACTAAAACTGTGGAAAGCAAAACCACACATAAGGAGACTACTGCAGTTTCCTCCTTGCTGTCTATGTAGGTTGTTATCAGGAAGGATGGTTTAAGGAGAAATGGTGACTCACTGGATGAGCCTTTTAAGATCCTTGACGTACTTTAACATGACCTTCGAAACTCCATTGGTTCATTGAATTCAAACACCAAGTATGGATGCCCTTGCAAATAGAGAAGCAGGGCTAGGCACAGGTAAAGGGGAAGTGTGGGGGAGGCATAGTATAATTTAGGACATGACAGCCAAACTAAACAGTGCAGAGTACAGTGGGCAAGCATGCTTTGAAGAGATCATCCTTATTCGGAGATTCCAGGAGACGTAGGTACATCTTTCCTTCCAGAATGGAAGAATCCTTGAGCTGGAAATGGAGCCCTGAGTGGGGCATGCAGGCACACACACTAGGCAGTATATACATATATTTTTCTATTCCTTTCTTTCTCTTTCTTTCTCTTTCTCTCATCTTTCTTTCTTTCTTCTTTCCATTCTTTCTTTTTCTCTTTCTTCTCTCTCTTTCTCTTTCTTCTTTTTCTTTCTTAGTTTTTGCTTATAGTCCCCTCTCCTCCATTCTCCTCTTGAGATTTTGTGCATGTATGCACATGCGCTTGGAGTGTTTTTCAAGCTGCCAGGTCTGGGACTCAAACTGCACAGTCAGCCTTGTGGGATTTAGCCACCTTAATCACTACGCCACTGGCTGGCCCAACTAACCAATATATTTCTGATTTACTCTGTATTATTCGTCTTTAGACAAGTCCCCAAAGAAGTTCCTTAGATTTTTCTCTAATTATTTCCTGCCCATCTTGTCTTCATTACCTTAGAATATCAGCATTCTCCTCTGTTAACAGAAGACTGGGGAATTGAGAGTATAAGCTTTTCTCTCCTTTCCCAGTTCTATCCCTTGCACCCACCCTTTTGCAATTCCTGTGGTGAACTCACTAGCTCTTTTCCATTCAAACAGATACAGGAGGGTCACTACTCAAAGAAGAATATGGTTGGCCCTGGGCCTTTGCTGGCTGGTGTCATTCCTGGTGGGACTGACCCCGATGTTTGGCTGGAACATGAAACTGAACTCAGAGTACCACGGAAATACCACCTTCCTTTCATGCCAATTCCGTTCCGTCATGAGAATGGACTACATGGTTTACTTCAGCTTCTTCACCTGGATTTTCATTCCCCTCGTTGTCATGTGCGCCATCTACCTTGACATCTTCTATATCATCCGGAACAAACTCAGTCAGAACTTCTCTAGCTCCAAAGAAACAGGGGCATTTTACGGACGGGAGTTCAAGACAGCTAAGTCCCTGTTCCTGGTCCTCTTCTTGTTTGCTTTGTCCTGGCTGCCTTTATCCATCATCAACTGTATTATCTACTTTAATGGTGAGGTACCACAAGTGGTGTTGTACTTGGGCATCCTGCTGTCCCATGCTAACTCCATGATGAACCCTATCGTCTATGCTTATAAAATAAAGAAATTCAAGGACACCTACATCTTGATTCTCAAAACCTGTGTGATCTGCCAGTCCTCTGATTCCTTGGATCCAAGCATTGAGCAGACTTCTGAGTAGTTACTGATGAAAGATGGCTCTTGATCTCCTTGACCTCAGATTCAGCATCAACGAACACTTGAGGATCTACCCATGTGAGCCAAGGGCTTTTTACAGCCTTGATTTCTTCCACTGAGTTGGGGAGCTTCTGGATGGCTATCTCTAATTATAATTATATCTTCCCTACTACCTTCTTCCTCCATTTTTCCTCCTTCTTTTCCTTCTCTAATTATTTTTCTGGAAGTCTGACTTGAAGATGATGTATTATTGATGCTATTGCCTGTATTTCTTCTTCTGAAACAGAAGAAGAAGTAGTCATGGTGTCTGAAGTGTGCCTCATTGACTCACCAGCAAAAGACTAATTGCACTAGACATGTACGTCACAGTGACATGGTTCCATTCCTCTGTGGAACTGAGCAGACAGTTTGCTCTCAGAAGATGCCTAGAAGTTGGTGGGAACAGAAGGTGTGCACTGAGTTTAAAGGAGACTCAAATGACTGAATTCACCTGTGGATGTATTTTGAGTGAATAAAAGATGATATCTAACTGTTGTATAGCTTGCTGCTGGGGTCACTTGGGGTTTGAAGGCCCAGCTGGCCTTTGTTGATACTCAGATTACTTGCTCCTTAGAGCCATGTGGCCTACTCACTTTCTTACCCCTTGCCCCAGTACCTCCTGCTCCTTATTCCTGGGCTTATCAGAGCCCTTGTCAACTTTACAAACCATTCATCTATTGTTAGACAAAGTCTTAGTCATTTCCCCTTGTGTTTCATTCTAATAGGAGTTGTGGGTGTAAGGCAGAAAGAGACACTGAAAGCTATTATTTGCCAGGTACTTTCTATGCACTAAGCACTTTGAATGCGTTGTTGTATTTGATTGTGACAGCCTACGAGGAGATACCACTGTATTAGTCTGTTATTACATTGCTAATAGAAATACCTGAGATGTAGGCTGGCAAAGCCCGTGGCCTGGTAGTTAAGGGA